CCCTCTCTCCCTCTCTCCCTCTCTCCCTCTCTCCCTCTCTCCCTCTCTCCCTCTCTCCCTCTCTCCCTCTCTCCCTGTCTTCCTCTCTCACACTGTGCCTCTCTCCCTCTGAGGAAGAGCATGAAAGGCGGGGATTGCCATTTAGAACCAGAGAGTAAGAGACCTGGAAGTCTTACTGAACCAAATTTGTCTGGGTGTGAATGTGTTGTGCTGCTTGTGCAGGCTCTGATTTTGATATTTCACTCTTCCCAGCTAAAAGGGCGGATAAGATCAAAGGTGGGTGTGCAAGAGTCTAATGCTATAAGGCATTACTGTATGTTCCCCCCCAACCCTCCCCCGCTCCCCCCCCCCTCCTTTCCCTAGTAAATACTAAATAATAAAGAGTCATGGTCTCATTCCAAATGAAGAGTCACCATCCATGTTCTCATTCTCATAAGGTCAGGTTTGCTTCAGCTGCCCCAGAGATGAAGACGGGCAACAACACAGTAAAAGCCAAAGAGGGGTGTGGTTTTCGTCGTCCTCCTCGACAAACAAGGAGGGGTGCTGCTGAACACAGGCTAGGAAGGGGGGCATCTTTTTTTTTGTAATTGGAAGAGGTATTAAGGCCAGGGACATCAATATTCAACCCAGATGAAAGACGAGGGCCATTACCCAGCTTCGGCTTTGGATAATCACTGCTAGAAACTGGGTGCAGTGTCCGTCCTGAAAGACATTTCCACCCTATTTTTCCCGAAAAATTAAAAGTGAAAGCACGTTTTCGAAATCTGCCTGTGAGAAGTGAGGCCTGATCAATTTGGAGAGGGCCAGGTTAGGCCAGGTCGGGGTAACGGGAAGGTGGTTGGGATCCCTGCAGGCGGCCTAGTCTCACCGAGCCCAAGACGAGGGTTGTACTCGTTATAGGACTGAACCCAACATCTCATGACAAGCTGATGACAGCTGTGCAGCACCTTCTGGAAGGTACCCGAAGGCGGTGCCTACTGGCCTGCTCAGATGCCTGCGTGGGTTGAACAAAGAGGCCAGGACAATCCTGTGAATTGTTTGCAAGTTGGCAAACAAGTGTGAGGCTGCTGGAGCGCACGTGGATGGAAGCAGTGCCAGCGACTGGGCAGTGACCGAGCGTGAGGGCAGGCAGCGTCCACCATAGCTGCACTGGGCACCAGAGGAGAGATTGCGCATGCAAGGGAGATACTGGGAGGAGGACGGACGCAGGGAGCACACGATTGGCGAGGGGTATACCTGGTGCTCACCATGAAGAGCTTCACTGTGGTACATTCTGTGTGCAGGCATCAAGGGGAGCCGTATTGTACTCTGCGGCATTGTACATTGGTGTAGTATAGGGCAGGGTAGTAGATGAGAGCAGCCCGGGCAGTGACCGAGCGCGACGGCAGGCAGCACCCACTATAGCTGGGCAGGGCACCAGAATGGAGGTGGCGCATGAAGGGAGACGTTGGGAGGAGGAAGGCCGCAGGGAGGACGTGATTGGCAAGGGGTATACCTGGTGGTCGTGATGAAGAGCTTCACTGTGGTACATTCTGTGTTCAAGCATTGAGGGGAGCAGTATTGTACTCTGCGGCGTTGTACATTGGTGTAGTATAGGCTAGGGTAGTAGATAAGAGTAGGTGATCATCTAGGCTGGTAGTGAGACCAGCGAGAGCAGAAAACAAAAACAATAATTGTTGCCCGATTGATTATTGGGACGCGAGAAGAGGGCTTTTCATCATCAAGAGGCTACACCATTGTCAATTCTTGTGCCGGTGTGGTCACTGATTTGTAACACCTGCTAATTGCCTTGTCGCGATATGAATGCTCGTTACGAGAGTTCAGTGTGATTGTAAATTGAGTTTCTTCATGGTGGCGGTCATTCTTTACGTAGTGTGAATGGATAAATCTCTGTGCTCCGTCAACTCTCCTGGGTCCTCTTCCTCCGCTCTCTGCCCTTTCCCATCCCTTCTCCCCCCCTCCTTACCCCCTTCCGGGCCTCTCTAGCTGCCCTTTCCCCCCACCACCTCCTCTTTCCCCCTGGCTTCTCCCCGCTTTCCCCAAAAGTATGGTCAGGGTATGGCAAAGGTTTTGCTTCGGCACGGCCGTCACTTATAATGAATTGTCCTGATGTACGGAACATTGTAGACGTTGCTTCTGCTCCAGTGTCCAAGATCACCCGTGCTTTGACTGTTTGCAGACCCTTCTGGATCACAAGGCTGGTATATTGGATTGGCTTGCAAATTGAACTCCCAAAGCCCATTGCAGCTGCTCTGTTCTGCTCCCTTTTTCGTTGGGTGATAAAGTTAGGTGGTCAAGTATGTATTGCATATGAGCTTGGGCGTGGAAGTTCTAACCTCCTCTGCTCTGCCTCACTTTTTTTTTGCTGATAAACTTAAGTACTGAACTCCACCTTTCTTTTCTTTGGGCGATAAAGGTAGCAACTTACTATGTATTGTGGAGGAGTCTGGGGGGCGACCTCCTCCACTCTGCCTTGCTTTGCTGAATGAAGTGAAGTGAAGAACTGAGTACGTACTAAGTTGTATATTTGTTGCGAAGGAGTCTGGGGGGCAACCTCCTCTGCTCCGCCTTGCTTTGCGGATAAAGTAAAGTAGTAAGTAGGTACTAAGTATGTAGTGCGGAGGAGTCTGGGGGCTAATCTCCCTCTCCTCTGGTTTGCTTTGCAGCTCACAAAGTCTTAAAGTGCTAAGTATGTGTTCAACAAAGGGGCCTGGGCCGCTTTTGAAGCAAGGATACACACTTTCTAACAAAAGCCAGTGAAAACCTGCTCTGCCCTGCTCTGCTTTGTGTTCCTGATAAAGCTCTTTTTTTTTTTTTTTTTTTTTTTTTTAATAATTAAGCAGGTCCTTATGGTCCTGGCTCCATATCCATTCTGGGGAGCGTCAGTCCGGTTCCTCTTCCCCCGGCAAGTCAAAAACGGGTTACATCATAATACCCACTCAACGCTTCCTTCCGTCTGGCCAAAGGACCCCTGATCAGCATTGATTGCTCCTTCTAAGGAGGGTTGACTGCCAGCTCGCCCTGACCATTTGTTCCTCTCAGGCTTCTATTTAGAGCCTGTCGAATGAGTCCCTGTAATACGAGAACAGTGGGGGGGTCCGCTCTGTGTTCTGTTGCTTGTCCTTGTCTTTCCCTGTGTGTCCGGTCCTCTTTTTGTCGATCAGCATTCCGAACCTTCTGCCAGGCCTCCCAGCATGTATCCTCGTGGTCTTCATGCTTCTGCCTGGTGCCATTTCTTCCATCTCAGTCTATTGTCTACTAACGCTGCCACCCTGCCTTTTAGCAACCAGTTCCTTATGAAAGTCCGTTTCTTGGTTGCTTGTCCTTCTGGTCTGTGTCTCGTAGAGTTTGCTATTCTCCGCCATCTGCTCCTGATTTCCGTCTCTGCCATGCTCAGCAGTAGTGACCACATTTCTTTTCTTGCCACCTCTGTTCCATGGATTGCCTGAGTGCATCTGCATTTCCATATCACCCACAGTGCCAGCTTCCTGAGTAGGGTGAACCATGCTTCCCTGCGGCCTATAATGTTGCTGGGGATGTTAGTTAGAAGAAGGATAGAGATAGGGGGGATGTTTGGGGGGGGGCGCAGCGAACAGGATCGACCATAGCTCGCGGATCTTCTTCCATATCCAGATTGCTTCAGGGCAGAAGAGGAGGCAGTTGGGGATGTCTTCGGGTGAGTCATTGCTGCACATTGAGCAGCATGCAGAGCTATCAGGATCGGAATGTTTCCTTCTCTCGTGTAACCATTGGTTGACTGGCAGGGCTGCATGTGCTATTAGCCATTGCATACTTCGGATTCTACTTGGTCTGATGAGAAGGTATTTGGTCCATGTGATGGTGATGGGGGTAGTGGTATCTAGGTTCAGTATGGTTCTCCATTTCTCTGCCAGCCTTGGATTCGGGTCCCTGGTTTGTAGTCCAAGGTTATACCCGAACTTTACGTCATATTCTGTTGTCCTTCTCGATTTACTGGCGGCGCCCGGATCCCAGATCCATTCCTTTGGGTCGAATTCCAATTCGTTGATGCTGAGTTCCGGCTGGAATATAAGCCAGGGTGTCTTGTGAGAGACTCTAACCTTCCTGAGAAGGTAGGTTTCTATTTGTTTGTTCTGTGGTGTTTTGTTTAGGATTTCTAGTTCATATAGGCCTTGTTTGATGATGGGGTAGGATACRAWCTTGGCCTGGTAGTTGATTRAGTCTGGTTTTGACACAAAACGGTAGGCTTTCGTTGGTGGGGTCTGTGTGATGAGCAGTCCCCAGTCTCCTGGTTTCCATGTATGTGTCTCTTTTAGGAGGGTCGTCCATGGGGGGGGAATGCTTTGGAGGATTTCGGACAGGTTGGTGGTCGGTAGATGGCATCCTTTTAAGGGAGTGCGGAGGTCCTGTGCGGTGAGCCATTCTTGTCGGTCTTCGGACCATAGATGTTTGACCTGCCATACTCCTCTCTCTACCCATGACAACCATCTGCGGTCTTTGGCCCGGAGAGCCCACGGTCTGCCCTCTGTGTCTTTGATCCAGGGATTGCAGAACAGGGGGTGTCGTAGGACTTCCTCTTTGTTGCTCGGGGGGACTTTCTTTTCTGGCATCAGACGGCGCCAGGTCTTCAGGATCGGAGACCAGTAGGGGGTGGGTGTAGCGGGGGGTTGAATGGGGGTCACTGGGTTAGTCTTCCTTGCTGATCTCCCCGATTTGATTGTCCACTCCTTTGCCATGATCCAGAATAGGTCACTCATGTTCGGTGGGGTTGCTGCGGGTGCCAAATTCCTTATGCTGTCTATGGCCATCGCGGTCCACGGGAGGGCTTGTTTGGTTAGGATTTTGATTATCCATTTGATTTGGAGGGCGATCGTTTCCTGTTTAGGGTCGATTATACCTAGCCCTCCTTGTGGTTTCCGGATGACAGTTTGCCAGGCCACCTTGTTTATGCAGGTCGTTCTGTTGGGGTCGCCAGTCCACAAGTTGTTCCTGATAAAGCTCTTTTTTTTTTTCTTTTTTTCTTTTTTTATTAGATGGCTCCGTTCCATTGGTGGGAAGCTGCACCTGCTGGAAAACGGGTCCAGCGTCCCTTTACATCGTAGTGAGTGAAAATTTAAGGTCCAACTCTTGCTGGGAACCGGGCCCAGCGTCCCTTCAGCTCTGTAAGTGCTGATCTTACTATGAGACCGAAATGATGGTAATGATTTTAGGTATCAGGACTGGTGGGCAGGGTTCCTGTGCCACTTCACGCTACCGGGCACCAGATATACCATTACCCCTAGCACTCCAACCCCCTTTTTCTAAAGCATAATCAATTAACATCACCCTTCCTCACTACCAAACCACTGTAATTCCACTATAGCAAGCTGAGAAGGGGGAAAGGGATCTGCAAAGCAGTTTGGAGATCTGAGGGAAGCCCCTGGCTGTAGCGCGAACCAGTCCCAAAAGCGGAGATGGAAGTTCWTCTCGAAMGATTCTTCCATCCCTTCTCCTCCTGGCCACTCCACCTCTCCCAGGCCCTTCCCTTGAGATCTCCCCAGCCAGTTCAGGACAAATTTCTGAATTTCTTCTTGAATGTCCTTC